TTGTGTTAATTATAATAAAAATAACTATTGCCCCTATGGGAAGTAACTTGGGCTTCTCAGGCATCAAGTGGGATCAGGTAACTGGCTCATCTTGTCCTCCCCAGGACAATTCCAATGCGTTCATCCACGGGATTCAGAAAAATCCCATTGGTATACCCGAAAAAGTCTCTCAAGATGCTCATTTTCTTCTTTTTTAAAAGATTTATTTTTATTTATTTATGCATATAAGAACTGAGGTGGAGGCCAGAAGTCTGGGAGGTAGGAGGATTCACCAGAGGCAGAGTGGGGAGTAGAACAGATGCATCTACTGAGGGGAGCAGCTGGGAGACAGGAGAGGTCTGCTGTGCCCTGTGGGTCACCTCCCTGGCTGCAGTGGCTAGTGATAGCCTGATAACACTGAGAATAACCCCTGCACCACAGGGAGGCCCCAAGACTCTCATTTTCAGAATATATTATCCCCCAGGTGAGGCCAACTGGGGACCCAGGCATAAGAACTACTGTGTGTGCATTCTATATTCTCTTAATTTCTGAATTTGACCTGTTATTGGTTTTTGCTACTAGAGTTCTCTTGTTTTGATATTTCAGGGATGGAGGAGGTAATGGCAATATCTTTTGATCTTGCAACTGTCCCTCAGGGCACTGAAGTATTTCCCATCCTGAACTCTGTCTCAGTGACCCATATTACACTAAGAAACCAGACACTTGGAACCCTTCCCACTGTCTCTATGCCATAGAGTATCAAAGAACACGGAAGTATTTATTCCAAAGGGGAGATGATTTGATCATCAGCATTTGATGAGAATTGTGTGATGATATGATCGAAAAATTCAAAATAGAACCCCCAAATGATCTAGTTATCCTGCTTCTGAAACAGGCCACAAACAGGCAACAAGGCAGAATGAGGGATGGAAGGTGGAGCGGCCACCACCTGTCCAGGCATGAGGCCAGACAGCTACCAAACAGCCCCCTAGAGCCAAAGCCCAAGCCAAGGTCTATCGCATAACAACATTCACACAGTCAGGGTCCTGGACTACAGCCTAGCCAGGACAGTGCCCGGCAAGAGGACAGGTCAGCGTCTGTGGGTCTCAGCTGCACACAGCTGCAGGACACCTCAGGCTCCAGGAACAACCATGGGGCTATCTACAAACAGGGGAAACTAGAAGCTCGTGGCACCCATGACACAAGCTATGCCACGTCTATCGTCTGACAGATTCCGGGTAGATCAGGAAAAGCTCTGAAAAATCGGACTTTCCACTGCTAGCTTGTGTTATGACCTCCCTTTTTTGTATAATTGTAATATCAAAATATTCTGAGCAACTTTCAGCTTACAATTGGACTGCCTAGGCCGCACAAGGCCTGCCTGCCCTGACAAGCAAGCACTGCACCGGGGTGAAAAATTCCCCTGACGTCAAGTGACTTGACTACTGACTGATAAATAAAAGCAAAAGGGCTGTTTTTGCAAAGTCTCTCTCACTGCCGGATGGAGGATAACCCAAGTCTTATCATTCTATTATCTCACCTAGCCTTCTATTCAGCTTTTTAAAAAATTACTCAAACTTCCTATTGTTTGGCCTTTAGATGTGGAAATTCATCCAGGCTGCCTGTTTTTTAAACTAATCAAGTTTTCCACCTGCTACACCTTAAAGGAATCCACAAAAGTCTTCTGGCTAGTTTTTCAGGATTCTGCTATGGAGTCTTTAGATAAAGAAATCCACCTATGTCTCCTATTCAGAGATTTGATTAGCAAGGAATTTCCTCTTCTGTCTCCCAGGATGATTAAGGCAGAAAAACAAACCCATTAAATAGTAGATAAGGTTTAAGGGACTTCTATCTTAGTTGATCTCCACTATAGTAATATTAGTCATAGATTTTGTGCACTTATGTACCTGTTTTTTACCTTGATTGATTTTAGAATGTTGTAATCTCAAGCAAGGGTCAAAACAACCCCAAACTGTTCTTAGAAAGAATGATGATTGTAATCTCTCAGCCCAGTTCCTGTGCTGATATCATCCCACTACTTACTCCTAATGTATAAAAATAAACCTCTGCTGAAGGCAGAGCAGGAAGATTTGCACCCAACTCCAGCTCCCGTGTCTTCCTCGCTCCTTTTAGAATATCACCTTGCCGACGTCGTTCCCACCTTGAGACTCTGCCTGTGATAGCCTCTCTACAACCTGAAATCGGGGCTGGTCCCCGACACACCCACACTGGCGTCTCTCACCCAGCTAGTGTCAGTGATGGTGGCCACTGGCCATGGCGAGTGCTGGACACCACTGGCCAGTGTGATGGTCACGTCTGGTCCCACAGAGGCCACGCAGAGACCACCAGTGTGCCCAGCTCTCTGTGAGGTGTTGGTGACACCACCAACAGACTGATGCCTGAGGCACCAGGCTCAGGGCCTTTGGGGTCCTTTCAGGTGACGTCAGACACAGGACCGGGCCTCTGTGACAGAGCCCTGCAGCCTCTCTCCCTCCTCAGAGGCCGGCTGCTGGCTGCTTCCTCTCCTCTTTCTGAGGAAGCTGGAACTGAGTCCGCCCCTTCTTTCTTCGGGAGCTGGCATCGTCTCCCTTCCTGGGCTGGGGCTCATGTCATCTCTTCTTTATTCTTTCTGGGGCTCCCTCAGCTCCCTCCAGCCCTGGCTTACAACCTCTTTCACCCACAAGTCTGATTGGACCATTTAGCACCAATCAGTTCACAGCCAAACCTGATTCATCACAAAACAGCAGTTACTGACCCTGAGAAGCAACAATGGCCACAACACACCAACTTGCAATGGAGCAGCAGGTAGAAAGAAGCACTTTCCTGCCAGTGCCTTGTGCAGGCGGCTGGACCAGGTAACACTTCCAGGTGTTTACCCAAAGAACATGAAAACATTAACTCAAAAAGTCATACGCACCCCTATTTTCATAACACTATTAAAAATATCCAAGATGTGACCCTCCCTGGTTGCCTCCCTGGGTTAAAGCACAGCACTAAGAAGCTAAAGCCACTTCCACATGAGTTCGATCCCCACCTTCCCTGTAGGAGATCCACATGGCGCGGCAGACCCGTCTGCTGCTCCCCTCAGCAGTGTACTTTGTCG